TTATATATATATATATATATATATATATATAGTTGTTTTTTTTTTGCATTTATGGTGTTTTTTTCCCCCCGAGACTCTGTCAACAGGTTTTTGTAATAAAACAAGTAATTTTAGTGCAAAGTGACAAAGTAAAGTTTACTACCTTGCATGTGACTGTGAGTCCCACCTTGAAATCTTTTATACTTCCACTCTGTTCTGTTTTGTGACCATATGTTCTAGCTTTTTTCCAGCTTGTCTGTGTAAAATAATGTTGATTTGTCCTGGGTGAATGTTTAGATTGAGCCTTTATCAATTAAACATTAGTGCAGAACACAAAAGGCATGGATAGCTTAACCTTATTTTAGATACTTGTAATTTCCTGAGTGTAAGTCCACACTTCATAACTGATGCTTCTGTGCTCTTTTGTTCTGCAAGTTACATAAACAGACTTTTGGTGGCAGGTGATAATAAAAGTATTCACCTTGTCTGACCTTGAAGTAATGTCTGTCTGACCTTGAAGTAATGCTGTACTTCTCTCAATTTTACACTTACTGACCTAAAACTTGGTGTGGTAATAGCCAAGACTGGTCCCTAACGTATATTCTGAGCAAGTAGCCCAAGATTTTTTACATTTTTCTATAAATGACAAGGATTTAGCTCTTTCTGTTTGTTAGTGACATTGTTCATCAACCACTAGACAGATTTGACTGAAACTTTCAGGGAACAATAATTAGATATACATCTACAACTGATTAACTTTGTGTGTCAACCTAATTCAAGAGAGCCCTCATTGCCAAATGACCTTAAAATACACAAATATGAAAGTAACCCAGTCAATATAACATACTGTATTTTTGGCATATAAGTTGCACCTTTTTGTATAAATTTGCAAGTCATGCAACTTATACACCGAAGCGACTAATATATGTTTTTCCCCTATACTTTTTAACCCAATTTTTGTCTGAGATCTGATGATTTCATTCATTCTGACATGGTAAATATTGAACACTACTATTATCAGCCGCTCCAGGGCCCTTGAGTTATATGGCAAGCCAAGTGTCTCATTAATAGCCACTAATGAGACACTTAGCTTGCCATACAAAGCCACCTTTGTCTTGCTCCGGAACTCCTGGACCAAACGTCAAATCAGCTTCATTTCGCCGCGCCGTCCAGGCGAAATGAAACTGATTTGACCATTAAAATGCATTTATTAAGGAAAAGTTCAACTGAGACACACCTTTACTATAATGTTGAGCAAACAAATAATTGTTTTTAAGTGTTAATCTTGTTAAATTCTTGTTAAAGTCCTCCCGTGCACGCTCCCGCCGCCATTTGGCAGCCAATCGATTTTTGGCACAACACCGGCTCACGTTTCCGGGTGGTCAGCGGTGACACATAATAGATGCAGCTTATACGGCGAAGCGACGTGTACGGCAGCAAGTACGATATATGGAGCTAAATCTGATGTGGTGGTAGCTGAGAGTCATTCACAACACATACGTTGAGCACGACACATACTCTTGCAATATCACTTGAAACTGTGCATAACATTATTTTCAAAGTTTGACCAAAACACCTACAACTCTGTCATTTCTCTTCATAAGATGATTTTGGCTGTTAAATATATAACATGTTTAGGGAAGTAGCATGCAGAAAGTTTCCATTAGTCAAGTAATTTATTTAGTTTTGCATGCATCTGATACTGGATTTGGTTTACTTCTGAGAACGTGGTGAAGTTCTTGCACGAGAAGCTTTACTCTGTTCATGGCATTCTTGCAGATAAATCATATTTTTGCTCATTTTTGAAACAGATATTTTTGCATGTTGATCTATATTACTAGATGTTGAGTGAAGCCAACACAGTGATGAAATGTGATTAATCGGTGCAGCTGTCACTCAATTTAACTTTAGATTTTTGGTTTCAAGTCGACAGCCATTCCTGTTGTCACGGTGATAGTGGATCCAGGGGTAAGAATAAGCCCCTCCTCCTTTATTTAAGACCCTCCCCCCGCATCTAAAAGTCAAAGCATCTATATTGTTTTGTTGTGACGCTGTTGTTCAGGTCTCGCTAAAACCACAGAGATGCTTTTCTGTACCGTAATTTTCTGGTTGTAATTCTTCAGTAAAGTTAAAGTGTTTGTTTTTACGACTTGTGAATGTTTGTCAAAGTTTTTGTTTAATCCCTGGTTTGTTGCATTTTGGTGCAAGTTTACATTTTTTGACCATGTTTTTGATTTGTCTTGGTGCATGGCATGCACAGGGGACACCACGGATGTCTTTTTTCGTTGTACATAAAGAATCATATGAAGCGCTCGCTGTCAGATTACCAGCATCGTGTGGACACTGAGCCGTGTTTTGTTTGCATTGCTTGTTGGAGTCTCAAATGTTTGTGATGTCACGAGACAGATAAAGCTCCATCTTTTTATTGTTATCAAATATTAACATATTAACTTCATTGTCTTTAGTCTATATTTTGGAGCATCAGTCACCAGTTGTCACATGTACTGTGTGTATTAGTCATCTGGGCCTGTTGATTGATTTGAATTTAACATAAAGTTGCATGAAAGCTGGTTGTTGTAAAAATGTAGGAAGAAAAAATATATAATACGACTTGAACATTCTTTATGTTGTTTATCGGTCTCATATATGCTAATTAATAGAAAGCATGACTAATTTCACAAACAAATCAATGAACGAGATTTATCATCGCTGTAATCGTTCGTTCCATAAATCATTTTCACCTCCTCCAACCTCAGAACACAGAAGACAGCGCTCGGATCTCCATCACCTTCTTCCGCCTGTTCAGGGTGATGCGGCTGGTCAAACTGCTGAGCAGGGGCGAGGGGATCCGGACCCTGCTGTGGACCTTCATCAAATCCTTCCAGGTGGGATTCAAGGGCATATAATACATTTTTATCTTCAATATGCAAAGTTATAAATCAACCAAGGTAAGAATTCATGTTAAAATGCGTTAAAATGTGCGTCGTGTTTTTGAACATCAGGATCTTCAGCTGCAAACACCTTTTATTAGTTTTAGGTTTTGAAAGTCATTTCAAAAGATACTAGTATAAAACTTGCATTAAGAAATAAGAATAACATAGGGCAGGTTTTTGTTTTATGTAATGCACCCAGACTCAGTAGCACAAAATAACTGACCAGTTTGTATCTCAATGATTTTGTGCCAGTTTCATATTTGACCATAAAATAAAATATTGTACTTTTCAAGCTGCACACCCACATTTGAGTGAGTTTAAAGAAAGTACATTTTGTCTTTTCTTCCCACCCAGGCTCTTCCTTATGTTGCCCTTCTGATAGCCATGCTGTTCTTCATCTATGCTGTAATCGGGATGCAGGTAGTATTGTTGGACTTTTCGTCATTTAATTGTGTGAATGTTTATGAAGCATTCACACTATTGTGATCCTTGTTTCTTCCATACGTTTTACGGCATCTTTCTCGTTCCACAATTTTTGTGCAATTTCAAGAAATCATATATCAAAATGTTCAGCTCATTCAGGAGAAGGGTGTTATGACTTTTGATATTGGTACAACTTTAGCTACTTGAAATATTTAGCCTTTTCTGCCATTTTTTTCTCATATGAAATTAATTGAGCTCATTTTACATCCTTCACATTGTTAGATCTGTTCACAACTTTTTACTGCTCCTTTCACATTTGGTTCTGGTTCAACTTCTTTCAGCTTCCTTGTGCATATTTAAACATTTTTCAGCTACTTTTAGCTAATTTCAGCTGTTTTTCAGCTGTCATGCTTCTTTCTTCTAACTACAACATTTTTGTGCTTCTTCTAATTTCTTTCTGCACATTTCAGCTCATTTTCAGCTATTATGCTCCTTTCAGCTTATTTATGCAAGTTTCAGCTTTTTCTGCTATTTAGCTGATTTTATTTTAATTTGAGCTGTTTTGGCTAATTCCACTTTTTTTTTTTTCTCTCCACTTCCTTCTGGTAATTTAGGCTTCTTCTGATTTTTAAAGCTACTTTTCAGCTGTTTTTTTGTTGTTGTTGTTGTGGCTAATTTCAGCTTTTTTCAGGTAATATCCACTTTTATATGCTCATGTCAGCTTTTTTAAAGCCTAATTGGGTAAATGTGTTTTTTTTCTGGTTTCTTCTGGTAATTTAAGCCTGTTCTACCTTTTCAACTAGTTTTTTAAGCATATTTTAACATATTTTAGCATTTTTCTGATGATTCTATTTTTTGTGGTATATTCTGCTACTTTCAGCTTGTTAGGCTCCTTTCAGTTTTTTTCTGCTAGTTTCAACATTCTCTGCTATTTCAGCTACTATTTAGCTGCTTTAAGCAAATTTGAGCTTTTCCAGCTAATTCCACTTTTTTTTTTTTTTTTTTCTTTTTTAGCTCATTTTAGCTTATTCCTTCTGGTAGGTTAAGTTTCGTTGTTGCCTTTTCAACAACTTTTCAGCAGGTTTTTTTTTTCCTCCTGATTTACTCTTTTTTTGTGCTCATTTCTGTCTATTTAAACCTAATTCAGCAAATGTTTGTTGTTTCTGCTTTCTTCTACTAATTTAGGCTTGGTCTTTCATTTCAGCTACATTTCAGCATTAGCTAATTTCAGCTGTTTTTCAGCAAGTTCTTCTGCACTAAGCATTCACACTGCATTTTTGCAGGAAATGTGATTTCTGTAGTTTTGCTTGTGACACATTTTATTTTGATTTTTTTCACAAATTTCTGAATAATAGGATTTTTTTTGCTTCTGTTTCCTGTCTGCTTCTTTAGGTGTTTGGGAAAATAGCAATGGTGGATGGAACACAAATCAACCGTAACAATAACTTCCAAACCTTTCCCCAGGCGGTGCTGATGCTCTTCAGGTCTGTGCTTTGTGTCATTTTAGCCGCTTGCTACTTGAGCCGTGTTAAGATTAAACCTAACGTAGACGTTTCAGCAGGTGCGTTGTACTGCTTCCTGTTTGCTGTCAGGTGTGCCACAGGCGAGGCGTGGCAGGAGATCATGCTGGCCTGTCTGCCAGGGAAGCTGTGTGACTCGGAGTCAGACTACAACCCCGGAGAGGAGAGGACCTGTGGCAGCGGCTTCGCCATCATCTATTTCATCAGTTTCTACATGCTCTGTGCATTCTTGGTACTCCTCACATTTCACCGTTTTCACGACCAGAATTATTTGAACTCAGCTTTCTGAATAAATTCAGTAAATTACAACCAAGACAATGTTGCAAACTCCTGTTTCAGATCATCAACCTTTTTGTAGCCGTCATCATGGACAACTTTGATTATCTGACCCGTGACTGGTCCATTCTTGGGCCGCACCACCTGGATGAATTTAAAAGGATCTGGTCTGAATATGATCCTGAGGCCAAGTGAGAACTAAGAACTCTTTTACATTTTTCTTCTTCTTTAAAATAGCAAAGAACCCAAACACCAGAACGTCTCTCTGCCCGTTCAGTTTATTTGAAACTTCTCTAAAACATGTAAAGACGGTGGTGTCAGTGCTATACTGTTTGATTTGACTGTACCTTGCTGCTAGGGGCAGGATAAAACATCTGGATGTTGTAACTCTGCTGAGGAGGATCCAGCCTCCGCTGGGCTTTGGAAAGCTCTGCCCTCACAGAGTCGCCTGTAAGGTGAGTTTCCACAACTTTTTGACATTTGCAGTAAAAGTTGTCACTCAACAGTTGCACGCTCATTCTCCAGCATTTATCTGGTGTTTGCATTGGTTTGCAGCGACTGGTGGCCATGAACATGCCTCTCAACAGCGATGGGACAGTAATGTTTAATGCCACTTTGTTCGCTTTGGTCCGCACTGCTCTCAAGATCAAAACTGAGGGTGAGAGTTCGACTCAGGGTGTCAGAGTCTGCAGAATTACTAGATGATTTTTTCACAATGCTGCATGGCTGAGCTTTTACACATTCAATACATGTCTGTGTTAATATACATTAAATTTGATTTATGCAAAACATAAAACAGACAACAAGTCGGAAAAGGAAACATATAAAATAAAACTGATGTGGCCAAAACCACATTTTTGTATTGTCCCTAATCATGGCAGCTGTCAGAGACAGTGTGGCATTGTCACTCAGACAAACAAGTTGTTTAGTGTAAAAGTTTATTTTACAGACGAAAAGCAACAGAACCTCAAGATAAATCAGTACGTTTCTTCTCATTTAATTTAAAACTTTAAAATGTCTCTTTTATTGCAACAGGAAGACAAAGTAGTTACAATGCAACACTTTGCACACAAATATACCCATCAAATGATTTATTTGGATAAAAAAATAAACATATACTCATTTAAAATCCTTTTTATACTATTTTCTGCTGTATCTAAGGTAACTTGGAGCAAGCAAACGAGGAGCTCCGAGCTGTGATCAAGAAGATCTGGAAGAGGACCAGCATGAAGCTGCTGGATCAAGTGGTTCCTCCTGCAGGCGGTTAGTGGTCGTCTCACACTGTTCAACCTGCGCACGCTCCCCTTCTCCTCTCACGGTTGAGCTAAATGCAATCTCCAGTGTATGCTGGTGCATTCAAAGATTTACTCATAAATTTGTCAAATGTGGTCTAAAATATTTCTGATTGAATGCAGCTTTTGTTAGAATAAAAGGACAAGCTGAAGACGTAATCTCAATCATGATGTCCTGAGATTATGTAAAATTAATACACCAGTGTTGGCCCTTTGTAACATTTATATTAAAAATAAAGTTATTTTGAGCAAGTTATTGAAGACGATTGAGAAATAAAAAGCCTTTTAACGGATTGAAGCTCTCTGCTGCCACCTCGTGTCTGACTATATTAAGTGCAGCCTTATTTAATCCAATCACCACTTTGGCACTTTGTTTTAAAGCAGTGAAATCTTTCTGGAAGCACTACTTGTGAAAACTTTAAAAGATTCACTTGGGAATAAATAATAATGTCACAGTAAACAAATAAAAACTATGAGTAACTGGGAAGAATGTGACACAGTTTCCTGGGAACACTGACCCCGTTTTCTGACCTTGTGATGATTATAGTTTCATAAATACGCTTTCACAAGCTTGTCTATTTTTTATATATTGTGTACTGCTTTGTGCAATTGCCTGAACTTGCATAAATAACCATATGTTGTGCGTTAATGGTTAGTGGTAGTTATTATTATAACTCAGATTCTTTTGACACTTTTATGTGTTTGTGAGACAAAACAAATGTGAATTCCTCTAGTTGTGTTTTGCTTTTGCAGTCTGCCTCTGTGCTTTCTACGCTTCAGATTTTCAAACCTAATTCTGCTGCTTGGCTTTTTGCTCTTCATTTGAACTAATTTCTTTCTCCTTTTATTTCTGTTTTTTTTTTTTTTTTGTCGGCTGAGCTTCTTGTCGTCCACAGCTTACTCTGCTTTCAGTCGCTGGCCTTTCTTTTTCTTTCTCTTTCTGCCGTCCTGAGCTCTTTGGAGCAGTTCTGTTTTAGTCTGGTGGCATGAAACTGCTGATACCTCTCTTCAAAACGTCAATGGGCTCTGTACAGAAAGATTACCTGTTATATATTCTGGGTGCAACTTTGTAGGAGATTGACAACATGCTGAGAAAGCTTAAATAAACTAGCCTTTTTAAATTAGAATTAAACTGAACTTAGCCTGATTGCTTGCTATAAATCATCAATCTCGCAAAAAATGATCATGGTACCACTTTACAATAAGGCTCCCCTTATATATGCTAATAAATAGTTTATAAATATGTTATTAATTCCTCTATAAACACTTTATAAATCATTAATAATTGTTTATTATGCATTAATTAAGGGTGACAGAGACACAAAACTGACCAGTTTCTTGTCAAATAGTGATCTGTTCACCTATTTCATCTAGAGTTGTTATATTAAACATTTCAGACTAAGTTACTACCTTGTGAGCACAATAAGCATTTGTAAACCTTTTTTTTTTTTAGGGTATAATATTGTACTTTATCACGGCATTATAAATATCTACAACTATAAATACTTATAATGCCGTGATAAAGTACAATCTTATATCCTAAAACAAAGGTTTACAAGTGCTTATTGTGCTCACAAGGTAGTAACTTAGTCTGAAATGTTTAATATAACAACTCTAGATGTAATATATAGGTGAAAAGATTTGTCTCACTGTTTGGCACGAAACTGGTCAGTTTTGTCTCTTTCTCGCCCTTAATTAATGCATAATAAGCAGTTATTAATGATTTATAAAGCGTTTATAGAGGAATTAATAACACTAATAAATAGTTTATATATACATCTATAAGGGAAGCCTTATTTAAAAGTGGTACCATGATTATAAATGTAATTATTCAAAGAAAATATTTTTATAATTTCATGTTGTGTGTAGTGGCGGAACGGTGGCGCAGTTGGTAGCGCTGCCACCTCTCAGCAAGAATGTCACCAGATCAAATCCCAGCCGGGTGCCTTTTTGGGTGGAGTTTGCATGTTGTCTCTGTGCATGAGTGAGTTTTCTCCCACATGCCAAAAACATGCATTGGTACTGAGTGGTAACTCTAAATTGTCCCTAGGTGTGAGTGAGAGAGTGAATAGTTGTTTGTCTTGTTTGTTTCTGTGAGTCCCTGTGATGGACTGGAGACCTGTCCAGGGTGTTCCCCGCCTCAGTGAATGCTGGATACGAGCACCAAAGATTCAAGGATTTTTATTGTCATACCAGCTCACTTTTGCATGTTTATGGTACGAAATTCCGACTCAGGTTCCAGATCAAGAAGCCTAACAATTTTCCCATAACAACCAGTGACCCAGAAAGGAAGCAGCAGGTAAAGATAATGGACGGATGCTCTGTGTAGTATAGTTTTTAGTAAGTTCTGACAAAAAAAAAAAAAAAAAGACATTTCAAAATAATGGATTCTTTAAGGTATTCTTTATGAACAGAGCCTTTGACATGATCTCTGGCTGCCTCTGGTGTTTGTAGAGAAAAGTGTTGGGGGCTATAAGATGGATCAAGTACCCTAATGACTAATAGATCCATCCTAAAGCGTCCACCACACTGACATCATCACCTTTAGAAGGTGGCAGTGAATCGCATCAAACATTTCTTACACACCATGAGTCAGCCGCTGTTAGTTCTGAGCTCCTTCGTCCCCATTCTGCTTCAGCAGCATCTTCTCTGAGTGAATCAGACGTCTGCTTGATTAGCCTCCCTGCATGGCTGATAGTGCAGTGTGTAGTCGCAGCTTCAATCCTGGCTAAACAAACATTTTTAAACAAAATGTGTGTATCTGCTGCTCTGCTACTTTTGCCGCATGTGCTTATTGCTACAAAATGTACAGAGAAATGTAAATGTGTAAAACACTTGTGCTTGTTTGTCTTTGAAATGGTGGATTGTGTTTAGTGAAAGAAGTGAAACGGTGTTTTGTTTCTCCTACGAGCTATTTTCCTGAGAAGCGTGTTTCTTGGCAGCTTGAGGTTTGCAGGCACTTGTCAGGTTAAATATTGGTGCATGCTTACAAGATTTTTCATGGTGAAATAAGTTGTCAGCAGACAATGCCAAGAACATTTCACTATGTTTGGTTCACAAGCAGAACAGTTTAATGACATTAGTCTTCCTGATAAGCCGATGTGTGTGTAATCTTTTTAGACCGTGTTCCCAAGACTGAACTGATACTTTCAAACTTTTCATCTTCAAAGTGTTGAGTTTAGTTATTGTATTTGTTTACAGCCTCAAATATACCCATAAAAATGGTGTGATGATAAAGAAAATGCAAAATCTAAGGAAAATATGTTTCTTATTAATGCGTTAGTATGAATTTCAAATATTTTATATTTTGCTCAGGCAAAGTCTAAACAACAATCATTTGCTTTCATATTAGTTTGAGTCTCTGTGCTACAAAGATTATTAAATGATTTCCAGTTTGAAGAACAAAACATCTAGAATGAATGATTTTCATGCTTTCACTCTGAAGTGCATAAAAACTTATATGGGCAGCCTATTCCAATGTACAACAGATTTTTTATTTATTTTATTTATTTTTACCAACATGTATCTTTCATTTAAAAACTAACAGTGATTGCATCACTTAAATAAATATATACTTAGTAACCCTGGCTTAAAATAATGTTCACACTTAAAAATTATATACAGTAGTCCCTCGTTTATCGCGGGGGATCCATATCCAAGCCCCGCGATAAGTGAAAAACCGCGAAGTAGGAATAGTAGTTTATTTTAGTATATATATATATATACATATATATATATATATACATATATATATATAATATATAAATTCAGAATGTCATGATTTCAGCTCCCTGCCTCCGCTGCACTCTGCCACCTGCAAGCGCTCTTGGCCACGCCCACTTCTCTGCTGCAGAGCGGAGATATGACATGCTGCAGGAGGAAGCTTCTCCTGCAAGCTGTGGGCTGCACACAGGTGCTAAATAATTTAAAATAATTTATTTTAAACAAAAATTCCATGCTGATCATGCGGCTCCTCCATCAATCAGCCAATTGTGTGTCATATCCAATCTTATTTTGAAAAACCGCAATACAGCTAGTCTGCGAAAAACAAACCGCGAAGTAGCGAGGACTACTGTATACAAGAGCATGCTAACTAAATGCAGTAAGCTGGAAGTAGCTGCTGCTGCATCTTTATTCTCCTACTTGGTCGTTGTTTGTGCACATAAATGAGCAGTTTTTTAAAAGTGCCCAATACTGGCTGAACAAAATCAGTCGGCTGAAGAATGAGTTTATGTCTGCTTTGGAGCAAACATAGTGAGCATGTCGTTACCAGAAAGAGGTTAGCATCAATGCAGAAAAATACACCAAGGCGGGGTTAGGGTTATGTTTTTCTAGAACATCCATACATTTTCTCCTGAGAGGTTAGTGTTAGTTATGGATATTAAAATGGACTGCCATTTGTTGCTTTTATATAATATTTAAAAACAAAGGAACTATGTATATCTAAGGTTTTTTTTTTTTTTTTGCATTTTCAATTCCATCTTCCTTACTTTTGAGTAGTATTTGTTACAGAATTTTTTTTTTTTGTCAAGAAGCTGTTATGTGGCGAGGATGTTTTATTATAGATATTTTTTCCTAACTGGTTTCATTTTATATACAGTATATGAGATCTTGTGGTGAGATTAGTGAGAGGTGAGGTCTTATCCCTGCGTTTGAAGAGCTGGGTGTAAGGACGCAGTCTGAAACAGAATGTCAGCAGTTGAGGCGACCTGGTGCTGATGTGGGAGGCTTTGTGGTGTCTGATCTTTTCACTCAGATGACGAGGTAACAGTGGGGAAGTTCTATGCCACCTTCCTGATACAGGACTACTTCAGAAAGTTCAAGAGGCGCAAAGAGCAAGGCCTCGTGGGAAGGCGGTCGTGGGAGAGGCTGAACAGCACTTTGGCTCTACAGGTCAGTGAGAAAAACATGGAGAGTAAATCACTGATCTGACTGCCCACCACTCAAAAAATGGGCTATAGAAACTGGTTTGATTTAGTTTTAGGTATTAGCTACACAAAACCAAACAAAAATGCACATGTGTTGGTGGTAGATGTGCAGATTACAATGAATTATGAATTATTAACTACCACTTTGCGTTCACTATGAACTTTGCTGTATTGTCCTTTTCAGTCCTCACTCTGCGGGTAAATAAATGACAATAGTATGAAAGGAAGCAGATTTTTCAAGTTAGGCGTCGCATAGGGACCAGAGTTCAAATAAAGAGAAGTTAACTACATGTCCAGCTATCAGAGAACTTACCAGTCCATCCACCCTCTAATATTCCTTCTTCAAGTCTTAACAAACTAGAAGTGCAGAATAAATTGAGCTTCTAAGGGACAGATTATTTTATGTATTTTTTCTCACTAATCCACAATATTGAATGACGCAGTTTTTGTCATTATGTAAGGTGAGCTTTCAACTGTCTGGGTTTGTAACATCTCGATCATTTTGCGCGCACTTCGTTTATGCAGAGCAGTGTGAAGCACACCTGGGATATGTTTAACTGCCATATGTGCTCAGAAAAGTTTTTCCAATATCATTACATTTTTTTTACTCCCTAAAATCAACACAGAAACAACAAAATACAAACAGAAGCTTTGTTTAGTCTTTATGGCACCCTGCCATAGACATATAGCAAGGAATTGTACCCCAACTCTAATCATCCAAACTGACCACCTCATCTTTGCTGTAACCCACTTTTAATCCTCATCTAAACCTTTTACATTTACAGCATCACAGTTTTGGTCCCCACAGTGGGCACCACAAACATACCGCCTGTGATGGTTTAGTACTGCAGCTGCTCTCTTTGCAGGCCGGCCTGCGCACGCTGCATGACATTGGACCAGAAATTCGTCGAGCTATATCATGTGACCTTCAGGAAGAGGGACTAGTAGATGGAACAGGAGATGATGAGGAGGAAATCTACAGGGTAAAAATCCTACAAAAACCCTTTTTTATTTCCTGCTCAGTATTGTTGTAAACTGAAGAAAACCAGTTAAAATGTTCATACTTAAAAGCAGTGCACACACTAACTTTTATTTGATGCTTTCATCATTTCTGTTGTTCTCTTTGAAGCGGAATGACGGGCTCTTTGGGAACCACGTTAACCATGTGGATCAGCAGGGCTCTTCCAACCCCACCACCGTCACGCAGCGCCCACTACAGATCCTGCCTTTCTACTGCGCGCCATCACTGGCACCCACCCAGACCGTCACCAGAACCAGCAACAGCAACAAGGAAGGAGGAACAGAGATGAACTCCTCACCCATGCAGTATAATCATCACCCCAGCCCTCATCTGTACGATTACTCTCACTGTAATTCCACCTGCCGGCAGTCACCATTTCCCTCAAATTCCAACCTCAACAACGCCAACTTGCCCTCGCTTCTCTCGATGACCTCTGGCAGGCAACAGAAGTGTTTATTACAGCGCCGTCGGCCTTCCTCCACCAGAAATGGGTCCTCAACAACTTACAGCAGAGGGCTTCACGACAAGCCGTGGAAGTCGCACTCCACAAGGTTGGTGGATGATCAGCAGCGGTGATGCTACAGCTGATCCAACAGATCAGGACTTTTAGTTGTTGCAGTTTGTTTCAGCTTGGTCTTAGTATTATCAAAAAGTTACAGATTTTAAGTTTATAAACAAATGGAAACCAAATAATAAATCTGGTGCCTATCTCCGTGATTGCATGGGTTTTCTCCAGGTACTCTGGTTTACTCCCACATACCCAAAACATGTATATTAAGCTGATTAAATAAACTAAATGGTGTGAGTGAGAGAGTGAATGGTTGTCTTGTTTGTCTGCATGTGGCCCTCTGATAGACTTGTGACCTGTCAAGGGTGTCCCCCACCTCTTGCACACTGATAGCTGGACATGGGCACCAGTGACCCCCACGACCCAAAAAGGAAGAAGCAGATTAAATATAATGGATGGATGGATGAAAACTAAACTACCATATTTTTCAGACTATTAAGGCGCATTAATCAAAATAAGTTCATTTTGACCGATTTTTGAGTGCCGTGTACCACATAAAATCAGTTCGAGGTCAGTAAGCACAACCAGAATTAATACATAAGGCACACTGGATTATAAAGGCTCCAGTATACTCGGGCAGACATTTTTCAATTCACTTCAATTCAGTTTATTTATATAGCGCCAAATCACAATGAAGTTGTCTCAGGGCACTTTACAGAAACATTCACATACATAAAAGCCAATTAGTAAAGTTCTCTATCTAAGGAATCCAGCAGACAAGTTGAATCTTGGCTTCGTTGCAGTCCCCCATCCTGAGCAAACACGGTGGCAACAGTGGAAAGGAAAAACTTCCTTTTTGAAAGGAAGAAACCTCCAGCAGAACCAGGCTCAGGACAAGCGGCCATCTGATTTTTCCTTGCAGACTCGACAAGCACTGTCCGCAGAAGGTTGAAACTTCATGCTCAAGTGTCCACCCTGAGCGGCTGCAGAGCAGCTCCACAGACAAGGGGCCTTGGGGACAAATTGAGGTCGCCGATTGGTCATTTGCTGACACGCCTATTGGATTAATTGACAGGTCGCAAAAAAAAAAAAAAAAATAAACGAGAACTGGCAGCCGCAGCGGTGTTCTATGTTTATTTGCTGTTAATAAAAAGTTCTAAAAAATTTTTAAAAACAGGGAGCGCTGGCCCTGCAGTCCACACATCAGACCAGCCCACCACAAAATCTCCAGATCCTCCCACAGCCACGCTGGGCCTCATTTTAATATGCTTGTGACAAATTCCTTCATTTCTCACCATTTCAGTCATGGCGTCATCAACGAAGGAATGAAGGGATGAAGAAGGGAAATTTAATATATTGGTGTCGCATACAAAACAGTTCGTCGCTGTGCAGTTTATTGTGTGACACCGAGTACGCGTACGCTGTTGTAAAAATTGAGTTTTGCACGAATATGCTCTGCAGGTGTCCGCTTCGACTCTAATCTGGTACACGCGGACCTCCGCGGACCCATGTACGCCCGAGTATACTGGAGGCTTAAGGCTCACGGTCGATTTTTGAGAAAAGTCAAGGATTTTAAGTATGCCTTATAGTCCGAAAAATATGGTAGTAAATGTTATCATTAGACCATGTTGTTTTTTGCAGTTTATTTGTCCTGTGCAGACAGGTTTTTTTTGCAAGTTCAATATTAACCCCCTACACATGTTCTCATTTTATGCTGTAAAGATGAAACAAATTACAGGATGGTAAAATTTAGTTTGGTAGTGCAAAAAGCTAAAGTCTGGAACTACTTTCTATGAAAAATACATACGGACTCGTTTGACAAACAGTTGAAATTTATCGTAATTTGTGTCTGCCATTGTTGTTTTGTCATTGAATGCATCATCTTTTCTATTTCCCACCCGCCTCTCCGGTTCCAAACCTCTGATTGAATCACCTGGAGCAGGACGCGCTACTATGAAGCCTACATAAGGTTTGTTGAACTGCGACTGTTTCAAAGTTTTAGTTTCACAATAAATATGCAAATTTTGGAGTGTCAAACAGTGCTCAAAGGATCATGCTGTACTTACATAAAGTTATTATCTTTAGTTTAAAAACATCTGAACATTGTGGGAAAATGTAACTCTGTGTTGTTGTAATGGTTAGATTAAACTTGTGTTTTCTAGTAGTAACTGAGTTATAAAGTAAAGTAGTTATACTTTAATGCACTGACTACAAAAACCTCAAAACATCAAAGTGACAAAGGAACAAAGTGATGAAATAGTTACATACTGGATAATTGATAAATGTAGTCAAAATAATAAGTAGCCGTGTGATTTTAATAACAGGTCAAAAAATGGTGGAGGACTTTACCCCACCATTTGTCGAGAGCAGCCGGGGGGCAGGGACAGTGAGGACAAGCAGGGCTCGGGAGAGTATTTCAGCGGGGAGGAATTTCACGAGGATGACATCATGCTCACAAAGGAAAGGTACGGTGACGGCACAACACAAGAAGACTGATGGCAAAACTGTAAAGTCCCAACAAAAATACAACTGTGGCTGGCTGATGGGCTTTTATTTATTTACTATAATCTTAATAATTTTTCCTGAATTTGTTTTCAGCAAGCATTAACATAACTTGTTCAGATTTTTATCACTTTTTGTCAAAGATTGTCCAGGAAAAACTTCCATAATGACTCAGAGGAAGATTTCGAGCTCTCCAGGGATGACTGCCAATCTGATGGTTACTATGACGACGACAAACAGCCTATCTGCCAAGATGGCCGACGGTCACCTAGGAGATCGTTTTTACCTTCACCTCAAGGTGAACGATTGCATTTCATCATAATTATTTTTTTATTATTTAACATTTATTTAACATTTAACACACCAATTTCTGTCAGAGTATTCCAGATGAACCTAATTGTAATGATGGTTAAAAAAAAAAAAAGTGTTATTCTTACAAAATTATTCACGCAAATTAATTTAGCTGCGTTTTATTTGATTTTTATTAATTGCTACCAATCAGTGCGAATGAAAGGATGAAAATGACCAAATCTGGAGTTTAGAATTCACTTTTCTTCTTGTGTGTCCTCAGCCTCCCACACACCAACATTCAGCTTTGAGTGTCTTCGCAGAAGAAGTACAGATGACGCTTCACTATCTCCACCGTGCACAGTTCTTCCACTACAACTGATGCAGCAACAGGTCCCCCCCCACCCACCCACGCACACACATCCACACACACACTCACACACACCGATGCTGTGAGGAGTTACTGTTTCAGTACAAAGCAGTTAGTTTTAGAAACATGTTTCGTCTCCACTCGTTCCTGCAGGTGATGGCGGTAGCCGGTCTGGATGCCAGCAGACTTCAACGGCTGTCACCTACGAGGTCGCTGCGCTCGTGGGCCACACCTCCTGCATCCCCCATCAGCTGTGACTGCTCACCTTCCTACACACCGCTCATCCAGGTGACAGAGCATCGTATCTGACATTACCTTAGATGGAAGTGTAAAATTACCTCTGTAAAGTTTTAAAACTGCACAAGTTCACAGATTCGGATGGCTTTTGAAATTTTTTACTTTTTGAGCTATAATTAAGACAAACTTTTTATTAAAGTGTATTTTTTTAGAACTAGACCTACATCTTTACTGCATCTTCTTCTTTCGGCTGTTCCCTCTTCAGTGGGGTCGCTACAACGAGTTATTGTCCTCCATCTCACTCTGTCGTCTGCATCCTCTGTCCTCACTTCCACTACCTCCATGTCCTCTCTAACTGCATCCATACATCTCCTCTTTGTCTTTTTCCTGGCAGTTCTAACATCCTTCTACCAATATACCCACTGTCCCTCCTCTGGACATGTCCAAACCATCTCAGTCTGTTCTCTCAAACTTTATCTCCCAGTTGTTCAACCTGTGCTGTACCTCTGATGATCTCATTCCTAATCTTATCCATCCTTGCCACTCCTAAGGAGAACCTCAACATCTTCATTTCTGCCACTTCCAGTTATTTTTCATGTCTTTTTGTCAATGCCACTGTCTCCAGACAATATAACATAACTGGTCTCACCACTGTCTTATAAACCTTTGACCTTTGCTGCCACCCTTTTATCACAAATCACTTCAGGAACTTGTGAACAAACAGTGGTAGTGAAGGTCAAAGGAAAGGTTTATCAGAGAGCAATGAGACCAGCTATAGCAGGTGTTTATATCAGGTGTGGTCACCTAAGTGTGTGTTTTATATACGATCAGGTGGACTGGCGGAGTTCTGGCAGTGTTGGCAGCATCCCCGGAGCCCTGACGAGGAGTTCATGGTACACAGATGGCCCAGATGGCTGTCTCAGTCGCAGCCAGTCTCCAACATGCCTGCAGTTACCTGCAGAGAGCAGAGAGCACTTTCAGCAGAAGAGACGCAGTGCCAACAGCCTGGTGGAAGCTGTGAGTGAAACAAAGTGGCACAGTTGTATTTTAGCAATGGGACCAGTTGGGGGGAGCTTGTCACGTGTCAAAGCATTTAAGGGAAAGCACACTGAACTCAAATTTTACACAAGGCGGTTCATAAGTTTGAATCCACTCCTGTTATTTGTGTGAATGTTTATGAAGCAGTAACACTACTGTCATCCATTTTTCTTCTGTACGTTTTTCTGCATCTTTCTCGTTCCACAATTTTTGTGCTATTTCAGCAAATCTTTTATCAAAACATGCAGCTCATTCAGGAGAAGAGTGCTATGACTTTTGGTATTGGAGCAACTTTAGCTTTTTTTAAATATTTAGCCTTTCTGACACTTCTTTTTTCTCATATGAAATGAATTGAGCTCATTTTCATCCTTCAAATCTTTAGATCTGTTTACAACCTTTTACTGCTCCTTTCACATTTTGTTCTGGTTCAGCTTCTTTCAGCTTCCTTGTGCAAATTTAAACTTTTTTTCAGCTAATTTCAGGTAGGTTTTTTTAGGCGTTTTGTGCTCCTTTCAGGTTTTTTTCTGCTAACTAAAAAAAAATTGTGGTTCTTCTAAATTATTTCTGCTAATTTCAGCTTGTTATGCTTCTTTCAGTTTAATTATGTTTCTGCTTCTGCTATTTCAGCTACAAATTAGCTGTTTTTATGCTAATTTTAGCTTTTTCAGCTAATTCCACATTTTCTTTTAGCTCATCAGCTCTTTCCTCTTCCTTCTGGTATAGCTTAAGCTTCTTTCTGCCTTTCAGCTACTTTTTCAGCCTTTTTTATTTTGCTAATTTCAGCTTTTTTTTAATCATTTTCTAATGTGTGTGCTTATTTCTGCTTATTTAAACCTAATTCAGTAAATATGTGTTTTTTCTAAATTCTTCTGCTAATTTAGGCTGGTTCTTCTATTTCAGCTACATTTAACCATGTTTTTTTTTTTTTTTTTTTAGCTAATTTCAGCTGTTTTTCAGCAAGATTTTCTGCAATAAGCATTCATACTGCATTTTCACAGGAAATGCAGTTTCTCTAGTGAAACTTTGCTTCCAAGAAGACAAACATTATTTAAGAGTGGTCTTGATCAATAGTTTGTCAGACTTTCTGAAGGTTTTTCAAAACTTTTTTCTGGACTTTTTTCGCTTCTGTCCGGTTTTTGTGCATGACTATGAAATCATATTTTACATTTAAAATTAGGAAAATTAAAGAGTGGAGTACAAAAGTACAGTCAGGCTTAGACAAACTGTCTACAGCAGATAAAGTCTTTAAATTTATTGTATTTAAGAAAGAAAAATGACACAAAACCTCCTTCAGTTGGTCATTTGCCGTATGTCAATTTTGAGTTAAAATACTACTTTATGTGTTAAACTGTTTCATCAACAACCTGCCACCTTCTTCTTAATATTCCTCTTCTTCTTGTTTTCAGGTTCTGATCTCTGAGGGTTTAGGAAAATACGCCCAGGACCCAAAGTTTGTGTCGGCAACCAAACATGAGATCGCAGACGCCTGCGAGATGACCATCGATGAGATGGAGAGCGCTGCCAGTAACTTGCTGAACGGCAGTATGGGTAACGGCAGCACGGGAGGAGCGGGGAACGCCGGCTCAGAGTCCCACGCCGCCACACACCTGAGGGACCACCGTGACTACAGCGACGAGGAGCCGTACGTGGCTGTGACATGTGAGGAGGACCTAACAGATGAGATGATATGCTTCACTTCACTATAACAACGGCTCACGCCAGATTACTTTTAGTATTTTTTATTAAACTTTTACCGATGTTCCTCAGTGGGGGAAGGTCTCAAATGGCCTGCAAAGGACCAAAATAGATAAAACGGGGACAAATGTGAGAGTAAAGTGCCTTGTTTTCAATTCAGCAAGCGCTGACGGTTCAAAGAAAAGCTCTGATTTAAAGCAGGAGGCACGACTCAGCCTGTCAGGGCTTTTGCTAAGCAAGCCAAGTTTATAATGTTTGTTTGATACAGCATCAAAGCTTGTGAATTTAGTTTTCAGCGTTCAGAGGATGATCCAACTCGGCTTTCGTTTCTTGGCTCGGAGGCCCGCCAGCGTTCCGCTGCACTGAACTAACGTCACATGGCTTCACACAAACAAGGTCGTACAAACTGCAGTTTACTCAAAGAGCCAGGAAAACAACGAAAATGTGCCACCCTTTTAGTCAAGCGGAATGATTTTTAAAACTGGTTTTGTGAAAATTTTTTTTTTTTAAACTTCAAGTTTTTCTGACTAGTTTCCAGCTTAATGGTCCAGTAGTGACAGATCAGGAAGCTGCTTTTTTCTGCTGCAACATGATGTTTTGAGCTGCACAACAAGGTTCTCTGAATTCAGCTGACATGCAGGTGTCTTATAAAGTGTCATCCTTATTGGTAAAGGTAAAAGCTGCTGGCTCAACACGTTATAGTTTCACTTGCCTAAACAAAATTACAGAAAGAACAAGTAAAACTTGATGTAAACATATATTTTTGTTCAGCCTTTTGAATCAGGCTCATCCAAAGCCATAACAGCTGGTTTGTTTGGGGTTCAGGGTTTGACACGTTTCACTTGAAAAAGATACATATCATAAAACAACACAAATAAAATGTCCTCAGGCATATCCTTCTATTTGTGTGCTCACTGACTTCTGTACTAGATTATTATTTTTGATTCCCTTGTAAACAACAAAAAAACATTTATGATGCGATAATGATTCCAACGCTGCAGTTCAGATTATGCAACATGTCAGTTTGAGCAGGTTCTTGAAATAATAGAAATGTACGGTGGCCCTGAGGTATAAATGAACATTTGGAAAAACTGAATTGCATCAAGCCAAACTGGAGGTGACAGGGTGGACAGTTGACTCAGGGACTCAATTTAGTTTTAATCATTTAAGCATAAAAAATATTTTATTTAAAAAAAAGTCATTGGATGAGAACTATTATAAACAGTACTATTAAAAATAATTAAAAAAAATACTTTTTAATTTTTATTACTTAGAATTGTAACTTAATTTCAGGAAGCATGACAGGGGACGTGGCAGTAAACCCAAACTGCATTTAAAATTAGATTTACCAGTAATTGTTTTAAACAAATTCATCTTGTGTACCTATGGTTGTGTTTTATGGTGAAAGGGAGTCAAACTTATAAAATGAGATTAATAAAATAAATATTAGCTTTAAATAAAATATACTATGGTATGGGGACTCAAAAGGCAACAACTAGTAGCAATGACCCTGCTGTATTGTTGTTTTATATTGTTAATAAAGTTAAAAACATATATAAAAATAACACTAAAAATACCTCCACTACCACTTCCGGTTTGGCTTAATGTATATCCGTATTTTCCATTGTTGTTCATTTACACCTCAGGGCCACCGTAGAAATGAATAAAGTGTAACCCTGGATCATTTTTTTCTGTATGTGTAACTTTATTGCTCAACAGCTGCAGAAAACTTCAGCTATTTTTTTTAAATCTATAAATAAGTTAGTCTCTTTGGCCATTCCTTACAAAAAAAGATGTCAGGTTTGCCTCAACATCTGCGGCTTCTGTTTCATAATTTCATCATTTAATAGCTTTCATGTGTGAAATTCCTCTAAAGTGTCATGAGACAAGTCAGCCCACTTGGGTTCTGTTCAGAATGTCCCCATTTTGCACATTTAACATGCCACAAATGAAAGAGAGACTATTTTATGACATTCAGTCTTTGCTCCGCAGATCACCAGCGTGTTTCTATTACTGCCAGATTAAGAATGTTTTCAGGTAAATTCATAAAAATCAACATTGGTTTGTGGCAGGGCAAAAAAAAAAACCTAACAATTTGATAACAATAATTAAAGTAAAACAATTACTTAAACAAAAAAACCCACAAAGCTTTGTTGTGCAACATAGCTTTATTTTTTTACTGTTCCACTGCTTTACAGATGTTCTCGAAAAGATGTGTACAATCTGTAGTGTTTGTAAAAAGCCTTTAGATGTCTGCTTACTTCTTTTATGAACATTTCCAAAATGACTTTCCAACTACTTTGTAGCATAAGGACAAGGACCTTATAGATTTTGTACCGGTAAAAGCAAACTCCCTGTTTTTTTACATCATTTTTGCCTGAAATGACGACAAACCTGCAGTTTTGTAATGAATAAAGTCACGAGGATCAAGGTGAACATGATGTGTTGACAATCAATGAAAGAAATAAAAATGATATAAAGCACTGCCATTTTCATCATAACTTTCCCTTTTTGATTCACATTTAGAAATTCCCATTTTTTCTCCTTAAAACAAAATGATTTACACACTTCACTACGGTGCAAAAGAATGTAAACAACAAGAGAACTGAATATAGGTTAAAAATAAAAAAATAAAACAACGGCACATAATCATAATTCAGTTTATAAATGCTGACACGAACAAACCTCAGTCACACACGATCAACAGAAATTAACACGGTGATTTTATCTCATAGAAATATATTTATTCACAATCATTGACAAAACTGTCATTGTAAACATTAATTTAATTAAAAAAAAATGTACAAATACAATGTTAAAAGTTGTGTTTTATCATTCTCTTTAGATGTAGTATTATTTTTTTTAGCAGTTTTAGTGTGTATGAATGATTAGCTTCATCTTAATCGAGCTGGTTTGATCGTTTCAGATGAAAATGTCAAGTATTGATTATTACTTCATAGATTATTCAGGTTCCAGGCTGGACAAGGATTCAACAGCAAAGGTAAACGAATGAAAGGATCCACCAATATGAGCAATTTAAGCTGCATGTGCAATGATTAAAGACGATGCAAACAACTGGTCCTTTAACAGCTCACAATTGAAAATTAGTAAATCTAAGTGCATGCTCGTCTACAACGGTCTCAGGTTGGACTCTGAAGTAAAGACATTTTAAAAAAATGCAGCTTCTTTCCTCAGACTGAATCAGTTATTGGGCATTTTTTCCTTTTTTATTCCTATTTCAACTATCTCACTTTTAATCTATAAAACTATTATTGTTTTGCCGCCTCTCGCTTTGGCAACGACAAGTGAAGAATATTTGTCTTTAAATCATGAAAACAAAAGTACCGGTCAGATATTAAACTGAGGTTCAGATATGGCTCATACGAACTCTAACAGACGTTCTTATTTGTGAAGACAGTGAATTTCACCTGAACACAATCATCTTCCTGCTGATATGAAATCTGAGCAACAACTTTATGACAACAAGTGACAGGACAGATGAGCTGACAGTTTCCAGGAAGGAAGACGAGCGTTTCTTCTATCACAGCTGATCTGAGCAGAACCACACAGCGCAGTGCAGAGAGCGACTAGATAAAAAAACTCTGCAGGCTGCTGATCGTTAGATAAGAACAATGATTGCACAGCACCTTGGCTCATATCTACCTGCACGTGGAAATCACATTTAGTCAGATGAATCTCCTCCGAGTGCAATTTATGTGTACTGATAATACTGTGACTACAAAAATCAAAACGTGGCCAGAAATGATCTGAACCATGTTAGCGTTAATGGGACAAACATTTTTATGGTCATTTATAGAGCTAAAAACAGCTAGTCTAACGCAGATGTTTTTAAGACGTTAAACTATTTTAAGCTAACATACAATTTATTAAACTTGGAGACAAGTTTGATAAATTGTCTCCAAGTTATGGAGACATAACTTGTCCAAAAAACATATTGTTTAAATTGAACCCAATAGAAACAATACTTAGTGTATAACTAACATCCAGTAGACTGAATAATTATCAGTCTTTAGTTTTAGAAAAGTGTTTAAAGTTTAGTTAATGAAGTATTAGAATTAGTTCATCCCTGATCAGCTCCTCTCTGCTGTGTCCACCTCGTAATGATTGTAAAGTAAACGGACCCTCGCAGTAGAACTGTTGCCAGCTCGTCTTCTCTCTGTTCATCTCTGGGTTTCAAATGTCGCAGGTTTGTACACAGGAACCTCTGGCTCGACAAGGGCGGGGCGACCTCTGATAACATCAGCCGTCTTTTCTGCCATCATGATCGTCGGAGCGTTCAAGTTTCCGCTGACGACGCTGGGCATGATGGAGGCATCCACCACGCGCAGCCGCTCCAGACCCAGAACCTGCGTGTTTGAGTCGACCACCGCCATTGGGTCTGAGGGCGATCCCATCTTGCAGGTGCAGGACGGGTGGTAGGCGGTGTCAGCCTTTTGGCGCACAAAAGCATCAATCTCAGCGTCGGATTGGACCAGAGGACCCGGCAGGGCTTCTGGACCTCGAAACGGGTCAAAAGCCTTCTGGGCAAAAATTTCTCTGGACAGTTTAACACATTGCCTGAATTCCCACACGTCAATATCTGCGAGGAGAGACAATAAACGTCTGTTTCTGTAGTCAGTGATGCTGAAATGCTCGAGTTTAAACCAAACTCTGCTCCAGATGTTGGGTCTTACCAGTAGAGAGGTAGTTTGGCTGAAGAATCGGGTGATCCAGAGGGTTACTGCTTTTTAGCTTCATCCATCCGATACTGGTGCTTCTCATTGGTCCAACATGAACCTACATCACCAAAATATAATTTTTCCAACAAAGTATAATCTGGCAAATGGATTATGTTTTTGTTTTTTAATTTGCATTATTAACACATTTCAACTTAAAGGTGAAACAAGTGAAGCAACCACTGTGTTCTTTTGTTGAACCCTAATTACTTCCTCGTCTACTTCTCTAGAAGAGGTGGACTCTCAGATAATTTCTGGAGAAAACCAGGTTGTCCTTGAAGCTTTCCATGGAATCAAGCCTCTGTCAATACACCTTAGTGTAACTGATATTAATGCTTCATCCGACCTTCTAAAATCATGACTGGGGTCATTTAAGGCTGAGACAATGTACTGCGTATTCAGTGGCCTACCAATAAAGTCATAAAATTATCAGGATTATACACAGGCATGTCACGACTCTGTTCCACCAAAAAACAAACAAAAAAAAACCTGCGTTATGGAAACACACCTGATACGCCTCAATCTTTGATGGAACTCGTCCGTGGTCAATAACTTGTGAGGGCAGGAAATGAAACTGGATGTCCGGGTGTGTCACGTTTGGCCGACTTCGAATGAACCCTCCACTCTCTAAGTGGGATGTAGCTCCATAACCTGGTGGAGTATCAACAGGAAGTGAATCAACAAGCTGCTGAGCCATTACACAAGCAGTTATGTAAATGAAAATCTAATCTGTGACCATACGTTTATCCTTTATCAGCCCTCAATCAGCACTTTTGTCCACAAAAAAAAAAAATTAATTTCACAGAAGAACCCATGAGGCTCGCTCTGACATGATTCTCAGAAACCACATTATGTGAATGACAGCGTGAACTTTTTTCTATGCAAACACCATCTATCAATCTGTTAGTTAGCTAGAAAAACAAAAAACTGCTGAACCAGGTAGCCTCTTAGCAAAGCAACATCACATGAGCGACGTCAGAGCTCCATCACTTGTGTTTTTTCTATGTTGTAAAATAAAAAAAGTTTAGCAAGCTTATTATCAGCAGAATAAATGAACACCATTGTCATTTTGAGTAAAACTATACTAAAAATGAATATATCCGTTAATTCTGTAACAAAGCAGGCATTTCTACAACTGACATTCTTTAAATAAGGCAAGTGAAAGTATTTTATAACATGAGAGTGTGGACTCAGCTACTACTAAACCAAATATTAGCTCAATATATCCATTGTATGGAAACATACAGTGCTGACATTGTGATGACATTATTATTATTATTAATATATGTAAACTTGGCTGAGTTACAGTAGTCCCTCGCTACTTCACAGTAGAACTGTCATTTCTAACCTGAACCCAGAGCCTGACCCCGCCCGACCCAGATTAGGGCCGGTCCAGTCCATAATAATGTGCTTAATGTGCGGGTCAGGTAGGTGTCGAGCTTTTGATTGCGTTAGCGAATGCACGCGGCTGATGATCCAATTATACGGCAACATATAATTGGAGTCAGATGGAGTACTGCCAGCGATCCATCGCCCAAATGGACGTTCATTCAGCCGCTGCACTCAGCGGACGCATGTGGCCAACCACCCAAACAGGCGAGATCACAAAATATCCAACATGTCAGAGCAGGGTACAATGCAGGCAGAAGCAGGGGAAGCATTTAATGCACTTTGACGGCCAAGAAAGGACAAACACTCCCTCAGATCTGATCTTCTGGCACTTCCAACGGTGCTTCTGGCCGCTGTTTTCTGCCAAAATGGAGGGAAAGTTTTGCAGTGCAAAGTCAGAAGTAACAATCTACTTATTAAATTCAGAACAGAAAGTTGCAAATAATCCTGAATCTCAATTATCTACGTGCACATCAACCTGGACAGGGCGGTGGGCGTCGTCACTGCAGGGCAAGTCTGCTGAACCAGAACAGAGCTGCTCTGCTGGTCTGCAGAGCTGGTGAGTACCCACATAAAAATTTGCAGTACTGCACAGTACATATACGTATGTTGTTAAAATGATGTAGGTTTAAGAGTTTAGAACATTACAAGAGTGTGGGAAGGGTTTATAAAGCCTTAAAAGATATATAAGTACTAAAAATATAAATAAATATATCATTCCTACTTCCTGGTTTTTCACCTATCGTGGTGGTGTCTGGAACATAACCCCCGCAACAATCAAGGGACCACTGTACAGCCATTTTTGTGTTTGGTAGGTCAGTTAACTGTGGTGGCTGTCTTGAATTAGGCTGACTTCAAAAGCGAATCAGTTGTTGATGTATCCAATGATTAATTTGTGTGATTTTCATTAAAAAATCCATTGATTTGCCCACGAGACATTTTGCTAACAGCAGACAAATGAACTCACACACTGACACAAGCATTTAAATGATCACATGGGTGTCATGGCAGCAGGTAAAATGCATTTTTTACCTGTTTGTAAAACATTTAGGAGAACGTGTGTCCATGCGTGGATGATTTAAGTTACCAGTGAAAAGGGTGAGCCACTCTAGGCCTATCTTCATCATATGGAAAGGTTTCTGTGCCTTGTACAAGGTGATGGGCTGAGTGCACTGCTGCTGGATGTAAATCTCCAGGTGATCTTGCAGGTTACTACCAACACCTGGGTGACAGCGCAGAAAAGGGAGATATAAGAAAGCTTTAAGATGAACCATCATAAAACAGTCTGCTCAGGTCTGGTCCCACAGTTCAACAGAAATGTCCTGTTCAAATTCCTACAAGCACAAACGCTGTCTGTTTCACGCACCTGGTAAGTGCTGCACAACTGGAATGCCAAGTTCTTTCAGGTCATCTGCATTTCCCACTCCAGAAAGCATGAGAAGCTGAGGTGAATTTATGGCTCCTCCACTTAATATAACTTCTTTATCTGCAAACACCTGAGCAAATAGTAAGAGTCAAGTAAATGAATTCGAAAACAATGAATAAGTAGTTTTATATTAAAAAAGTGTAGGCTTGAAGAGAAAAATCTACATTTTTAAAGTTCAAATTCTTACTCTCTTCTTTTGTCCGTTCTGCATGTACTCCACCCCCACAGCACGCTTTCCATCAAACAAGATCTTAGTGGTCAAGCAGCGCACCTCCGTCTTTAGATTGGGTCGACCCAGCACAGGTCTTAGATAGGCGCTGGCCGTGTTCCACCTCTTTCCTGCAAATATTCCAGGATATAAACTGTGGACGGTCACGCTTGAATCAGTTGCTAACTGTAATCAGTTTACGTTTTGCATCGTCAATCCAGAGAACCTCTAACAAACAGAATGTGATGTAGTTTGAAATATAAGTACTGCGATTAAATAAGTGTCCTCAGTGGTACTTCATTCAAAGGTCCAACAAAGACTAAAGTTCTTTGTTCCTTTACCTTTATAGACGGTCATGTCCATCCAGCCAACACCTTCCTGCTGGTACCCGTTCATGTCGTCAGTGAGGGGGTATCCTGCCTGTTGCCCTGCCTCAATAAAAGCCTTGTGAAGGGGGTGATTAGTCTTTCCTCTAGACACATTAAGAGGCCCACTGCCACCCCTGTACCTGTAGGAACAAAGACAGAGTAGATTAAAACTATGTCTGGCTGTGGCAGTTAATGACCAATACTGAATATACTGGTATATTAATTTTAGGACTATCAGATTGCTTGTTGCTCTAGTGCACATAATGCAATGTCTGATAATTTAAAAGTCAACCTCTGCCTGTAAAGTTTAATGTTTAAAAAAAACCCGTTAGGTTGTAAACCAGGAAAGAAAAAACTACCATCTCCATCTATGTGGCTTGTGCTAATGAAGCTCGTATAACAAAAACTAAGTTACACAAAGAAGAAAAATCCACTGAAACATTTAGTTCAAGTACTTATTTTGTCCCAGTTCATGACACTGAGCTTTCTTGAAGTACGGCAGACAGTGTTCGTAGTCCCAGCCCTCTGCACCCTCCCTCTGCCAGCGGTTATAGTCTTCAGCATGCCCACGGATGTAAACCATGGCATTAAGTGACGAGGACCCTCCCCAAACACGGCCCCTTGGCCAGTACAGCACCCTGTTGTCCATGTTGGCCTGAGGTACAGTGTGGTAGAACCAGTTATATCTGAGGAAGAATGTAAATGATAAATCAAAAACAAACTATGATACAAAAAGGAATCGTTCGGATCTGAAATACATTTCAAACGTTATTAAAATACTAGATCTTTAGTGTTGATCGTTCACTTGTTCAGTCTAAACGAAGAGGGGAAAATGGATTTAATTTGCTGTACTTGTCATCACAGAGGTTGTAGGTCAGTGCAGCCGGCATGTGGATCTTCCATGAGAGGCGTGCGCTTCCGAGCCATTTGTCCTTCGGTCCAGCTTCCAGAAGCAACACAGACTCATGAGCATCTTCTGTGAGGCGGTTAGCCAGAGTGCAGCCTGCTGACCCTGCCCCAACAATTACATAGCTGTAGGATGGTGTTTTCTGATTGGCTGAAGGTGATGAGGAGTTACAATGAGAAGCCGAAGTAGTAAACCACCTGTAGCAATTAAAAGAACTTTAGTAGAATACAATGCTCCATGTGTCTGGTTGTAGGGATTTAAGATTATGGAAACCTGCTAAAAGAAGCACCTGCTATTCTTTAGAAAAGTCTGTGTCAAAACTTTTCGGGCTCCAGCTTGGCCAAATGTAGCCAAGGACAGCATCCTGGGAAGGTTTCCTGTAATCACTAAATACAAACAGTACTTCGTGATAAACAAACTGCAGTAGACATTTGAATTTGGCACTAAAAGTAAACCTAATGGTATTAAACAAAGTGCACATCTTTATATAGATGGGCTTAGTGGTTAGCACTGTCGCCTCACAGCAAGAAGGTCCTGGGTTCAATCCCCAGTTTTGACCTGGGGTCTTTCTATGTGTAGTTAGCATGTTCTCCTCATGCTTGGGTTTTCTCCTGGGACTCCAGTTTCTTCACATAGTCCAAAAACATGCAAGTTAGGCTTCTTTCCAGCCCAGGCCTCCCTTGTGATCCCATTGAGATTTGCCTGGTTAAATAAAAGTTAATAAAATAAATATCTAGTTTTGCTTTTTGTTCTAATTGTGAATATTTTTATGTTCACCATTACTTGAGCCATTTTGTACTGTTTTGAAAGTCAATAAAAGCATTAGTTTACCAAGTAGAAATAAGTAACCAAGTGCACTAGCAATTAGTAAATGTTTTATTTCATTTTACAAAAGTATCCATATTAGTGTGTCCACCAGTAAATTTGACTGTCTTCAAGATTTAACTCCAAATTAGGCCCTAACACGTTAAAATGATCATTTTGCGCATAAAACATCTTTGTACAATTTGCTTGAAGATTCAAGTTCCTCATTTACAATAAAAGAAAATGAGGCCTGCCATACACAGTCCGGTCTAGTAAATGTTTAATTTCCAAACAAGGTTGCCAGGTCAGCTTGTTTTCTATAAAAATGGTTAAAAAAAATTCCTGTGTCCTGGGCTGTTTTGATCATGGGTTTGGAGTGTATGGTAATTTGCTATGTTGCTTATACAGTCAGTTAGTTTAATTAGTCAATTAGTTAATCACTCTTCATTTTATTTGTCAATTCAAGTAAACATTTTATAGTTTGTCTTTTTGTAAAATATATTACAGTTTTGTGCTTTCCATCTCTTCTTCCTGCGCACATAAAGGGCAGTATGATCCTGTAACAACATAAACTCATTCTCATTATATTTCATGTTTTTATGCTTTTATTCATGTTGCTGTAATATGTTGTTATTAATATTTGATGCTGTGATCTTTTTTGGTAAGCACTTTGATAACAGTTACTGTTTTAAATGTGCTATATAAATACATGTGACTTGACTAAACAGCAATGCCTTGGAATGACATCCATCCATCAACCCATTATCTTTACCCACTTTTGACTTTTGGGGTCACAGGGGTTACTGGTGCTCATATCCAGCAGTCACAATGTGAGAGGCGGTGGACACCCTGGACAGGTCTCCAGTCCATCACAGGGACTCATGGAGACAAATGAGACAAACAACCATTCACTCTCTCACACATACACACACCTAGAGACAATTTGGAATTACCAATCAGCCTAACATGCATGCTTTTGGTCTGTGGGAGTAAAAACCGGAGTACTTTGAGAAAACCTACGCATGCACGGAAAGAACATGCAAACTCCACCCAGAAAGGCACCCGGCCAGGATCTGATCTGGTGACCTTCTCGCTGAGAGGCAACAAGCACTAACAACTGAGCCACTGTGCCGCCCTCTGTAAATAAAAAAAAAGAATGCACAAAAACAAACAAACAAAAAATTAAAATAAAATATATCCAATCAAGGAAAGTAGAAGAAAAAAAACAAATTCGTATCAAATGTAAATTCAGTGAGCATGCATGTGCAACTTTCAGGACCTCGGGCTGCTTTAAAAACAGGTCTGATGCCGTTCTGGAGTTCACTGCGTGATCTCAAGAACAATTCCACAAATCACTGTATGTAAAAATACTGCTTAAAGCCCCAAAACATTCTGTATACTGTACTATCTTCACAACGCACAACAATAGTCATAAACTAGTACTGCAGATAATTAAATTTCTCAAATCAACTTCAGTCAATATTCTGAACATACTTTTGTGAAACATATTTTTATGTACACATAATTTTAATTGAAACTACTGTACTGTAAAAAACAAACGTGAACACGTTCATCCTCTCTATCGCTGATTGCTCGATGGATGCGTCTTATCTGGCAACCCTGAAAGCGATTTTTTTTATTGCAATAAGTGTTGAAAGTTCAAAGGCGTGCAGGTCGGTCAGATCTGCCGTGTCGATTATCTATAAACTTACTGATAGGCTTTTTACAATTAAATAGATTATTAACAATCAGTCCCAACAAGTCGGTGCGCCCTTTTTTACCAAGGTACACACAATACAATTTAGGAACATTTAAAATCTGAAGGCCAATTTCGCAAACTTAAGACTTGCAGTCTAGTGTATGATAAGACTGCAATTTTTGCACATTTAAACTACTTTTAAATACTTTTCAATGTTTCAAACGCTTCATAAAAGGTAACGGTTATACCTTAAAAACATATTGAGAGGTTAAGATTATGGTGACAAGGCTACAACAAAATACATCCTAGTTTTGTTTGCCAAACAGCTAACTACTTGTTAGCTATCTCAGAAGACGTCTGAACTTCACACAGCAGGGACAGCGACACAAGTGAACCAGGAAGTTACATTTAGTTCAAGCAGAGCCGGCACTGGAGCAGTTTGTTGCCAACTCACACACGAGAATGCATTAAGTTGTTAAATGCCAGCTTAAAGTAACGGAACTCCTACCTTCTTGATGTAAAAACAGAACCCAGAGCTCCGAATGCTGCTGCTTGTGGGGGGAAAAAAAGGGGGCGGTATGGGCGGGGCTTAGCCGGTGACGTCAGTTACGCATCACGTTTGCCTCAACCCTCAACCCAGGTTTTAACTGAGTTAAACTCAGTTTAACTCGCTGAGTTAAACGAGCAGTTTCAAGCTGCACGGGTCGTTACATATCAATTTTATACTTGTTTTATCTGTTTAATTAATATATTTGGCTCAAACCGTAGCAGACGATGTGGCTAAAAATGCTGCTTTTCATCTGTTTCATCACATGGCAGGTGACATCGCACCAAATTGTAAGTTATCCTTTTTTTTTTTTTTTGTTATGCAAAGTTTAAGTGACGTTATCTATTTAAGCGCTGTGTTTCTATTGTTTCCTCGCAGAAAGTGACGTGTGATAAATATTTAGGTAAGGCTATGTAGCTTTTTTTTAATTCATTAACCTAATAAGAGATTTTAATTTCCTTTTATTGTATTTAATTTTTATTCTGTTTCATTTATTCATTAATTCAACCTTTATTTAGACAGATAAGTCACAAATATTATAGCCCAATCCTGATCCTCTGGGCTCACTATGTATCTTTTCCTGCTTTAACGCATCCGCCGAAACGGATTGAAATCAAATTCTGCAGAAGTCTATAAATGAAGCATCATTTCAATTTTGGTGTGTTGATCACTGATGCAGCTGTTATGCTCCATGCTGCTTTAAATGCTTTTAACGACAAAACTTGTCCCACAATCTCTGTCAGCTTGATTATCATTGAATATTAGAATAATTTATCTATTATTATTGATGATATCAGCAAAATAAATAGGATTAAAGAGTCCCACTGTGGTTTCAGAATTCCCCTCGACAAGCACCACAGCAAATCCATCCAAGGTGGCAGACTTGAAGGTTGTGCAGGTGAAAAAGGGAGAAGAAGTCAAACTGAATATAAGCTGGGCCATCAATATTGACGGTAGGAACAGTTTTTCTTGTCAGTGGTTTTGCCTCAATGCTGTTTACTACGTTTTTCATCTTCAGCACAGTAAATTTGCATAAATATGGCAACATCCTCAAGAACTTAAGGTGAAAAACTCAATGATTCATAGCTTATTTAATTTAATTTTGCAAAGACCGCCCATGAGCTGACTAGTGTGTTTAGACAAAACAAGATAAAGTAAATTTGACAGGGAATCAATAAAGTACTAAATCAACACATCAGGGGTTTTGAATGTGTTTTAAACAGGAAGTAAAGAAGCCTGAATAATAATAGAAGGCAGATTGCTCCAAAGTTAAGCTTCATAATGACCAAAAGTGATCTCAGGGCCTTAAAAACATGAGTTTGAAGCAAGTTGGAGTGATTGGGGGTGGAGATTTAGACATTTATAATGGGAGTTTTAAAATCAACTCTGTGGTGCACAGGGAGCCAGTGGATTGAAACTGGGACACTTGCTCTGTACAGTTCAACTAGAAAAGAAAATGTTAAGAGGAAAATGTAATATATATATGTATATGTATATATATATATTGGTTGCAAGTGTGTGCATTCTGAAACTAACATTTTGTTTGGAGCCTCTCTTGATTTAATTACAGTTTTCAGTTTTGTCGAGGAGGAGTCCATCATCATGTTACATTTTTGATTCTTTAATTCCAGTTGAAATAAATCACACACGAAAAAAAGAGTTGAGTTTTTGACTCACTTGACTCAAGTCACATGCACAAATACAAGCTTCATTCCCAATCCACACGGATTTCTACGACTAATATCACTGATTTGAAAAAGGAAAATTATCCATTTCGTTGTGCATAAAAAGGTTGAAAAACCAACAATTCTTTAAAAGGGAATACAAGTTTTGATGGAATTAATCATGCAAAACCAAACGTAATGTATGATTTTGTAACCTTTTTCTATTTTTATTTGTATATTTTGCAAATAAATTAATTATCCTGGTAAATGAATATATCAATTCCTATCAAGATTAACTCCATATTTTAAAATATAAATGCATTTATAGTTCCATTTATTTTGCACATTTTGTTATTTTGAATTATTTGTGCATGCTTTACAGTAGTGATTCAGTTTATCTTCAGAATAAAACACGTATCTAAATTTTAAAACTGTGAATAATTTATTTTTATTACAATATGTCACATTAAAAGTAAGAATATACGTTCTCTGTTTTACATTAAAATAGCGACTGGGTTGGGTAAACATTTTAGAGTACTGTTTATGCATTAATGCATTGTTTCTCCTGATATGTGGCATATATTAAATAAATAAATAAATACAAATAGACTTTTATTCTCCAGCTGAAGACGTTTCCCTCCTCATCAGGGAACTTTCTCACTTTAAAACTGGACGGTGAAGTTCCAGGTTTTTAACTTCATCTACACCTGCATACTCCTGATAAAATGTTTCCCGAGTTGTAAACACTGATGAAAACCAATTCCTTTTGGTAAAGTAACAGAAAGAAAATGATGCTTGCTTGTAGATGTTCTTGCATGTGTTTCTATAACTAAAATGTGGATAGATGTGTGGTTTCTGCTGTTTACCAAGTCCTGCATGATTATTGACCTGTAACATCTAAGAATCAATACTTACCAGTTTTAAAAACTGTCCTGTCCTCTTCTGTCTCTGCAGCTAGTAATAATTACCTGACAGGCACTTGGATTACTATTTCAGGAGAACCAGACTACTTCTGTGAATACAACCCACCTTTTGCCAAAGCAAACCTCACAGGATCAGAGCAGGTATGGCCAATGTCTTCTTGAACAGAACAGATTGTTTATTATTATTGATTTTAAAACATTGTTAATATTCACTTTTATTTTATTACAACATACCGAATCTTGAATATTTGTAATTACTAAAGTAATATTCTTTTCAAATTTAGAAATGGTTTCATTTTTTAATAAGTGCAAGAGAAGGCTTCTACTCAGTTGAAGTGTTCAATCTGCCTTTGCCTCCATTGGGTGGTGACCATTCACCCATGCATAAAACCATTCAAATCCCCCCTCCAACTAAATGTAAGTAAAACCTTTTAAAATATATATATTTCAACTTTAGAGCATCCACGTAATCATATATTATAGTACTAGAACGAATGTCCTCACCATCTCTAGTTTTTGTTAATTGAAGCCAGCAGGACCTGGTTTATAGGAGCTGTTTTATTTTTGAGACCATTTTTTCAAGTCCAGCCTACTTTCCCTTATACACTCATGGAGTTGCATGACTTTTCTTTTCATCATTAAATAAATAATTACATGCAACTGTTTTGAAAAAAACAAGAACATTTGACTATACAGCAGTAGTATAAATTGCTTTTTTTTTTTAATGAGGGAAGTGTCCTGTTTGTTTACATGAAGATAACAATACATAAAACTTGAAATGGGACCGTCCTGTGGGGAATCCTGTACCTGCTCAGGCTTCAACTTTTGTGTTCCTGTACAGTGTCCAGTACATGTAGTAAAATAGTCCAGCTAAACGTCTTAAAATAATCAAAATGTATTTGATGTCCAGTCTTAAAAACTGTAATGCAATAGGGAAATGTTGCAATATTACAATTTTAATCAAAACTTAACACACTAAGAATATCTAATGTTTTCTCTTTTTATGTAGCAAGAGCCATAACAAAGTCTCAACCTACAGGTAAGCAAGTTATTTTTTGTTAACTCCACACTTTTTTGACAAAAGTGCAAGTAGACTGTAATATTAAATATCTGCTCCATATTTTCCAATGTATTAAATAATTGTATTTTTTCCCCTCCACGATTTGAAGCCAAAACTGAGCCCATTGTTCAAGGTAAAAGAGTGACTCAAATCCTTGTCATTGTGCATCACTGAAATGTTGTTTCCTTATTCTCCAGCCCGCACCCTTCGGTCTTCAGCGCTGAACCTTCTTAAGGTTCCTAAGACCCGGTTTAAAACTCGGGGTGACCTGTCCTTTCAGGCCGTAGCCCCCCGCCTGTGGAATGCCCTGCCCCTGTCTCTCCGTGTGAACGTCTCAGTTTATTCTTTTAAAACGCAGCTTAAGACACTTTTATTTCGTCAAGCTTTTAGTTAATGTTTTACTGTTTTTTCCAGCTGTTTTTACTGTTTTTATTAATGAGTTGTTATTATTTTTATTTTATTTTAAGCCTTTATTTCTTTATTGTTGTACAGCACTTTGTGATTGTATCTATGATAAGTGCTATATAAATAAAGTTTACTTACTTACTTGTGTGTGCTGTATCTGCAAATGCCTTTTTACACTTTAATTATGCTTCAGTGCTGAAAAAATACAGATGGTTTTTAGGGATGCATGATATTATCAGCATGTATCGATATCGGACGATTTTAGCGATAAAGTTAAATATCGGACATTCCATCAAAATAACTCACCGATATAAAAGGTGCTGTTTATATATGTGTATATATATATATATATATATATATATATACACATAAATGAGTTTTAACATATCAACATATCGGATATCGGCCAAAAATCCAATACTGTGCATCCCTTAAAACACATGCAACTGTCAGTACATTACAAGAATGTCATTCATGTTTGGCTAACAAATCCAAACACCACAACGGACCATTTTATGCCAAACACCCAAGTTAACTGTGAGATGTTAAGTTTGATATTTTCCCTAACAATCGTTTTTATTTTCTTTTTCAAGCTGATGCTTTTACAGAGCCTCCTCCACCAGGTAAAACAGACAGTTCATACACAAAACCAGCAAACTTCTTGTCACATCATCTGGTAAATGGCATTGTGTTCTCATGTTTGCCTTTGCAGAAGAGAAAACTAAAGCTGTCATCATAACTCTTGTTGGAGTGCTGGTCACTTTGATGATCCTGAGTTCCTGCTGCATAATCTGTAAATGAAATCACTTTTCCATGCATGCATAGTTTGGAAGTAGAAAACACAAGCTGCAAAATTACAAATGATAACGAGGATCTGATGTTAAACTTAATGTCCTTTTTTTTCTACATGTGCAGCACAGGTTATGTTCTCGCTAAATTTGACTGAGCAAATCTAGAAAGCGTAACTGCTGATCTCGATATTTTGTCCCTTAGATAAAAGACGCATATCCACTTCTGCCTCGTATTTGAGTGTCAAAAGCCTCCCAGTGGTTCCAGTTTCTGTTCTTGTGGTGTACCCTGCTGAGAATTCAGCCTTCCAGCATGCTGTGGTAGCACTGGCAGAGTTTCTACAGTTGCACGGTGGCTGCAGCGTAGCAATTGACGTGTGGCAGCAGGGAAAAATTGCAGGGTTGGGACCACTGCGTTGGTTAGTGGAGCAGGAGAAGGCTGCAGACTATGTGCTGATTGTTTCCCCTCAAGGAGAGACTGTAAGTTAGCTCTCATGTCTATTATTTACTGTTTGCTGTGCTATGGTTCTCATTTTTATTTATGTACATATTTCTAGTAATAGGACCTATTCTAATCAGTTTTTCACTTATATCTATACATCTATGAACGAGTTAACACACGAATAAAGGTGCTAAACAAATTTTTGGTTAAAAACATTATCAAAAAGTGAAATAGTTTGTTGACGGTGTGCTTTTGTGTCCATTTTCAGTTATAATTTTAGACTAAGGAGATACAAATTCATAAAAATGCCAGATAAAAATGATTTTTTTTTTTCCCTCCACCAATTTTTCTTCAGCGATCTTCACTGCTAAGTCAGTCTACTGCCAACCACAATCTTCCAGAACATTCCATCCCAGCTGCGGCTCGTGATCTTTACCCTCTGATTCTCAATATGGTCGCAAGCCATGCAAAGAACGCCAGTCAGCTGTCCAGGTTCTGGGTGGTGCATCTGAACAAGAAACCTTCCATAATTCTGCCAGAACTGAAAGTGCGCAAGTCTTTCTGTCTAATGAAAGATTTGGACAAGTTATGTGAGAGCCTTCATGCCCCAAGGAAGTTTGGAAAGAAGATTTCATCTTTGCTGTTCAAACCAGGAGTTTTCTACAGTAAAAACAGTACAAAGTTAAAGGAGGCTATAGAAATGTTGGAGAGAGTGCAAATCAAGCTCATCCAGAGAAATCCTGATTGGAGGTGATGAAAAGGTTGACACTTATGAACAAAGCTAATGGATCAGAATAATTATTTTTTTGATAACTTAAAAAAAAAATCAATGCTATTTCATGTTGTTTTATTCCAAATGACAATATGACAATGTTTAGATCTGTTGTTTTTAATAATGATAAAAAAAAACATATTACAATTAGCAAATAGGGACAGATACCTTTTTTGCTGTTTTAAGTGTTATTTAAGTGACTTTGCAAAAAGGGTTACAAAAATGAGTTCTGTGTGTTCATTTTTGTAAAATTGTCTAAAAGCTACAATGCAATTATCTCCTAAATAGTGTTTTTTTTATATTGCAATGTGCCTTGTGTTATTTGTTTTTTAACGTTTGATTTGTTAAATTTCAAGAAACTATTAAAAAAAAAAGTTCAATACAAAAAGGAAAAAGCTTCAAGAAACTGTCTTTTGAATTAATAGAGGGTGTGTTTGAATCCTTAACATCATAGAACGATCATCTTATAGTAAATTGAATCTCAGCTCATACAAGATGTGATGTGAGCTTTCAGTGGTGTGTACAGAAACTCAACGCCTTAAGTTGCTGCAGACATCTTTCACAGTGACATACTTTTTGTCCTGCCACATTTTTTTTGTTTTGTGCTTTGTGTTAGTGTTGGCAGCCACCCACACTTTCCTTTTAGGAACATTTAGAGAGAAATACCAACCAAAAATATATGCAACAGCAAAACATGAAACGCAGATAAACACATACCGTAATAGCAATTACTACACACTTAGGACCATGAGATAGAGTTAGATTTATAATACATACCGTATTTTCCACTGTACACGTCGCACCGCCCTATAAGTCGCATCAGTCCATATCTATCTATTAAAGTGGAAAAAAATCCATATAACTTCGCCATATTCATCGCATCTATAATGCGTCACCGCTGATGCGTCACGTTTGTTTCGTGTCACCACTGACAACCTGGAAATGTGGGCCGGTGTTGTGCCAAAAATCAATTGGCTGCCAAATGGCGGCCTCGCGAGCATGCATGCATTAAAGAATTTAACAAGATTAGCACTTAAAAACAATTACTTGTTTGCTCAAAACTATAGTAAAAGTGTGTCTCAGTCTAACTTTTGCTTAATAAATGCACGTTGACAGTCATTTCAAAACCTGATTTGCATAAGCGGGCACCCACACGAGCAACTGTTCATTTCTTCAAAATTTAACAAGAAAACCACTTAAAAACATTTATTTGTTGGCTCGATTTCATAGTAAAAGTGTGTCTCAGTCTAACATTTGCTTAATAAAAGGACTTTAACGAAACGATCAAATCAGCTGTATTTCAAAAGCATTGTCTGCTTCGGTGCTCCGGGAGCGCGCAGACAGGGAGGAAAAAAAGGAGGAACGCTACGCATTTCTTCGAAATTTAACAAGCACCTAAAACAATTATTTGTTTGCTCGAAATTATAGCGAAGGTGTGTCTCAGTTGAACTTTTACTTAATAAATGCACTTTAATGGTCAAATTAGAGAGCTGCTGCCTCTCAGCGAGCAGGTCCCTGGTTCAAACCCCGGTCCAGGGGCCTTTCTGGGTGGAGTTTGCATGTTCTCTCCGTGCATGCGTGGGTATTCTCCGGGTACTCCGGTTTCCTCCCACAGTCCAAAAAAAAACATGCATGTTAGGCTGATTGGTAACTCTAAATTGTCCCTAGGTGTGAGTGAGAGAGTGAATGGTTGTTTGTCTCGTTTGTCTCTATGTGGCCCTGCGATGGACTTGCGACCCATCCAGGGTGTACCCCGCCCCTCGCACAGTGATTGCTGGACATGGGCACCAGCGACCCCCGTGACCCAAAATGGAACAAACGGGTAAAGATAATGGATGGATGGATGGATGGTCAAATTAGCTGCATTTTGCCAGGGCGATGCAACGAAATGAAACTGGTTTGATGGTTGCTCCAAGCAGCGAGCAGAATGAAGTTGGAAGACTGTGGCAAGCCGATGTGTCATTCATAGCTGGGGAAGATTCTCAGTCATCCAGGACATGGTAAATTAAAAAAAAGTTCAAGACAAAATAAATATAAAGTATAATAAATAAAGTGCAGCTGTAATTTTGTCTTGAAATTTTTAGAATTTGTCATTACAGCCACGTTTTCGGCTTTCCCTACTATTCTGCTTCCATCTAGTGGTTGAAAAATGATAGTGTTCTTTTTTTTCCAGTCAGAATGAATGAAAATTGTCATATCTCAGCCAAAAATTGGTTTATAAATATGGGAAACCATCCATAAATATGTTGTTTTGAACTATAAGTTTAAGGGCATGCAAATTATGCATAAAACTGCAACGTATAGGGCGAAAAATACGGTAGCTACTTTTCATACATATTTGAAAGAAAGAAATGTAAAATTCCAGGTATGTAAAAAAAGTCGCAAGACAATCTCCCAAAAACAATTTCTAGACACAATAATAATAAAAA